AAATAATGCTACATAATTTCATAGATCGCATTAATTTTATAAAGGAATTTAGAAGTTACTTATTATATCTTTTATATTATTTTACATACCAAAAACAGCAATTTTTTCAAAAAACCAATTTTTCAGAAAAAACCGAAATTTTTCCGGTTTTTTTCCAGCAATTTGAAAAAAACGGCTATTTTAAAATTATAATTAAAATGTAATAAATAATTATTACACAATAGGATTTCCAACTTTTCTAATTTAAAATGATCCTATTATTTGTTTATTTGAATATTAAAAAAATTAAATTTTGACACTAAAAAATATGTAATATTATAATCTAGCAATAATACTTAAAATTTATATCATTTTATATTATTTTTATATTTTAATTTTTATAAAAATTTGTATTGTGTAAAAAGTATCTCAAAACTATTGCAATTATTTTTCATTCATGAGTTTTTCACTAAATTTTTTGAGTCAGTTTTTTTTAAACAAAACTAAAGTTATAAATGTATGTACTGAGATATCATAACAAATAAATTAACTATTTATTTTTCTTTTCTGTTCGAAGTTTCCTCGACACTTTTTATTTTAATTTTTTTAAATAATTGGTTTATTAATAGAATTATCGATAGCGTGCCATATAACAATGTCGAAATATATGCAAATCTTCTGTATTACAAATGAAGTGATTTGTGACTTACGTAAGAGTAGTTTGACGATTCAACACGGCGGCGGTAGGTAATGCGAGAGGCGAGTGTGCATGCCCTAATTGTGTTCCAGTTGGTGTACCTACAGGAAGACAATGCTCTTCGACTCCTCTATCACCCCCACCCCCGCTTGCGTACATATTCAACTGCAACGAGTCCACTGCAATATCAATAAAAAGACAATATCGATCACAATTACTTCGCTCGTCACATTTCACATATACTCATCATGTTCTTGAATTACTTTTAACTTCTTTTAACAAACGATATGTATATATATGAATTGTATTTCAAGAAGATGTATGCATTATTCATGATATTACTCTATATGTCTAAATTTGTATATTTCTAATAATACATTTGTTTACGTATTTTCATAATATATTTTCGTTAATTATAGATACATATTGATACTTAAATTATAAAGATTTAACGATCACGGATCAGCTGATAGCTTTTTATCACAAATGTGAATATTCGAGATCTCAAATATTCATCAAATAATCCATACGATTATTAATCGACTTTAATCCTTATTTTGCCGTTTACTTAAAAAGTGCTCCAAGGTTGTAACGTGATTTTTGAGGAAGATAAGCGTAGAGGAAGATCACCAATACTGACATAGGTCTTCTAAAGCGACATCTCCTTATTTCTTAGAAACTAACTTTCGCACTTTATTAATACTAACAAAAACGTGATCTGTTTAGCTAATTAAAGAAGTACAAACTCATAATTTATATATTTGTGGCTTATTTCTATACCATATCAGCTAAAAACAAATTCTATGAATTCGAGAAGAAAATTCTTACAGTGTTCTTTTGCAAATTGCGTAATTAAAATAATAGTGACTGTATTATTGATAATATTATGTCATTTTAAATGTTTATAGTTTCATAAATTAGTTTTTCTTACAGAATAGGATATATCTTTATTTATAGAATAGGAATGTTGGCATTATTACCTACTATGTCAGTTTTGGAGCCCATTTTGTCAGACGCTCATTTTTGCATAACTTATGAAAAACTTAATTATTGCAAAATTGCAAACAGTATTATAAAAACTGCTTATACTATCTGTGATAGAAGACACTTTTTAGTTTGTATTTCTGTTTTTGAAGTTGCATTTTTACCTTTTGTTTAAGAAATATTGTCTAAAAACAAAGTGGTATGTCGATATTGGTGACCTTCCTCTATATAATTCGAATAAAATTTTTTGAATTTTTCTTCGCTTTTATTTATTTTATATATTTTCAGCTTTGCAAAGCTGAAGGATTTTGACTATATGCGACAGCAATGCCCGATTCGTTAAGTTAAGAGAACACATAACGGTTTAATTATTGTATTGCTAATTTTTTGGTCGATCGCTTTCTATAATTTTACATGTGCATTAGTTATGTCGATCAATTTGTTAATTTTATTATGATCTCACGTGTGAGAAAATATCGACGCACCGAAGCTAATGTCCTATACCTCCCTCCCGCATATCTCACGTGCGTATCTTCGAGTTAATCTCCCATCGATGACAAGTATATGTTGGTCGCTATCAGAATACATTCCGAGCTTTGACCAATCCGAGGCACTATCAGTTGTTGTGTGCTCTCATCGGAGCTTCCCCGACCCTCCTTCATGTACTTACACATGTACACGTGTACACGCGATCGTGTGTTTAGTCGGCCATCACGATTGTCGATGGACGTGGACGGGAATTATTGGCTGATCGTTCCATGAAGAATATTTGTACGCGGAAAAACCGATTAGTTATTATTTACACGGTGATAGCAGTGGTAAAAATAATTTTTAGCTCCAAATTTAAACTGCACTTGATAATAATATATTTTAAATAATATTTTTAATGATAAAATGGTTTATAAAATGGTATATTTTTAGCGATTGTTTATATAACTACTTAAATAATAAGATATTAAATATAATTTTATAATAGTTCTATGTCATTATATCATAATTGTTTTAAAATTATTCGCTGATTTTAAATTCTTATTAACATCTAATTATTAATACTTTTATATATAAAAATTATTAACATAAAAAATTATTAAATTGTTTATCAATTTAATAAGTGATATTATTACTCTGGCTCTGTTTGTGAATATGTTTCAGGATGAAAAAGATTTCGGTGCAGTTTGCAGAATCAAATATGTATATAAATTCACATAAAAATATTTAAGAACTAATTGTAAGATCCGCTTTGAACGAATATAGGAATTTCTCTTATTTAATGTAGGAGAATATAGGAATTTCTCTTATTTAATTTAATTTCTCTTTTTTAATTCTCTTGTTTAATTACATGATAGTTTTGCATACAAATATATTCCTGAAAGTATCTTACTCACTCCTATCTGCAGGTACATCTAATTAGCCTAACTAATGTTCGTAAAAATGAAAATATACAAGATATTATTGTCTACTGAAAAATTTTGGCGAAGAAAAAAATGAATATGATATCACGTATAATTGTTAAAATATAAACTAATGGAAGGTATTAGTAAAAATTAACTATATAATGGACTTGCTCACCGAAGACTCACCAAGTAGACTGGACTTGATATCGGTCTTATGGATGCCACTAGGACCGGGTAGATTTCCAGTGATGCTCGAGTGGTTCTTCGGTTTCCTCTTCCGCGTCTGTATTCCTTCCTTTTTCATACTTAAAGGCCTATTCACCTGTTTGCATCAATCTGATTATATTTCTATATGAGAAGTGTGTGTGTGTGTTTCTAAAAATTATTTATTTCTAATATTCTCTGACTGGCTAAAGCATAAAATCGCTCATATTTTGAACTTTTGTACCATGATTAATAAAAATAAAAAAGGTTAGAGAGAACAGTCATTGTTTCTATCAAGGTATGAACAGTACAGTCACGCATTGATCTCTGTTTTAATTAAATTTGTTGTTACGATCGTTTGCACAGATTCGCGCGATAATCTGTGCTCCTCTTCAACATCGAGACGGGGTCGTCTCACGTGTGTAAAAACAATCAAGTTGTCGTTATCGCGGTTAGCAATCATAAAAAGGCTGATAACAACGCGCTGACCAGTTCGCAGTAAGATTAATGTTAATTAAAAAAATTTCTCTACTGCTTTCTTGATGTTTTTATATCGCGCGAGAAACATTATTATAGTAATTCTTAGAACATTACTCGGAAACACCACCGATAAGAAAAGGAAATTTTACTCTTTGTGTGAGTTTTACTTTTAACTATATTTTTAAATGATTAAGAATTAAATAATTAAGAAGTTCATAATGAGTTTTTGGCTACATTGTTGTCTTTTAGCTACGTTATTATTATTTGATTTTACAATATTTATTAATAAAAACAAAGAGTTGATTGAAAAATTTCTATTCAAATGAGGTACGAATGAAAAGCATTTAACGTAAATAATTTTGTTACATGATTTCAAAACTTACGTTATGTAACTTAAAATAAAGGCCGCACGCATTGCAGACTGGCTCACCATTATTGTTTCGTCTCCAAAGGGTTGTGTTGCTTGTCCTACAATTTGCACATTGTACTCCTGTTCTTCGTACATTAGCCTACAATATGAAAAAGTATTTCACATCAACACATAAATACATATCAATGACTAAGTAATGTAGTGCACATAAATAAATTTATTATGTGTAAAACATTAAATTACAGAATTAAGTATTATTTATTTCGCGAACAATGTATGTACTATCTTCTGTCTTCTCTCTTTCTCTCTCTTTTGCTTATGTTTGATAATTTAAAAAAAATTAAAATATATTTTATTAATTTAAAAGGAACTCGCGAGAGAACTCGTCGCTCTCGATGACGACATAAAATGTTGCGTTGCCGTCAAGAAACAGGGAGTATTTGAAGAATCGAGACAACGAAATGGGAGTGCTCAGAGCAAGAAAAATAGAGCAAACAACCGCCGACGAGTCCCGTAGTGATTATTTGCTCGAGATAACGTTCCTCTTCCCTCTGTCTTTAGTAACGGTAGAAGGAAACGGTGGAGAGAGGCAGAGGGCGCGAGAATGTTACTTAATATCGAAGCCACATTCACTTCATAGGTGAGAAATTTATCAGGGTAAATATCAGTGGCCTCATTTTAGCAGTGGTCAAACGGCTTTCGGCAATATATTAAATATTTGAATGTGAGAGCAGCAAACAGTATTTAATCTTCCTTTCATCCTTTTCAATATGTACAATATATTGTTCAGTAGATTCGAAATGTTATATATTAAAAATGATTAGAAAAGAGGAAGAGAAAAACAAAGATTCAGTTACGGATAATTCGAGAGTCGTTTTAAAAAAAAATAGTATTCAAATTCCAATTCTAATTATGCACATTTATAACTTTTTAAATACTTTTTAATTTCTTTACATTTTTGTAATATAGTTTATAATAGTTTCTAATATAGGTTGCAATAAATTATATACTTCAATTCTTGTAACTTGAATAATATAATATACAAATTGCATTCTCTTCATTTAGCTTAATTATCCGGACTCTTGAAATCTATACAAAAATTAATATTTGAAAAATTAGATTACAGTATACACAGTTAGATTACAATAATCACGTGATTCGCACAGTGTTTACCGGTGCAACCGATTGCTTCGGTTTGGTGCATCGCATAGGTGGTCTATTGACGCCGTTCATCTTATTGTAGAGCCCACAAGCATTGCAAAGATAATGACCAGTGCCATCCCTTCTCCATAATGGTGTCATGCTGGCTGCGCAATTAACACATTCTTTGGGTTCCGTTGTTATGACGGCCCCTTCGAATCCCTCCTGAGCACCGGAAAGCGGAAGGGTAGTCCACCCAGGAGATGGTCCATTTGCGCTCGTGGAAACGTTGTATCCACCGCTACAGTTGGAATAGAGTTGCACGTTAGCAGCATCGTTGACGGAGATCGTAGCGATGCCTGGATAACTCTGGACATACTCCAAAGGGGGAGGAGTACTGCCACTTGACCAATAAGGATCACTTGAGGAAGGTTTCACGTATTGATATGACGTCGGTACTGTGCTGTACAGAGTCACTTGGGAATTTGGTGAACCGGGCTGTTCGTAGTGTAAGGGAACCGCTCGAGTGGCGGTCAAGGATGATGCTAATGTGGGATCGCTCTTCATGTATGCGCTGTCAGATGACTCTACCTATTAAACGCGAAACATAAATTTTCTCGGTTTAAAAATTAAGGGAAAACTGATCAATAAAAATTTTTATAAATTTTTGAGTAAAAGGGTGATTAAAATACATAAAAGTAACAATATTTAAAGTAAAATAATTGAAACAATATATAAAATATATTATTCAAATAACTGACCGCGTTTTCTCACCTCGGTAACTCTCGAGCTAAGTTGCGCTGCTGGTGGATATGCCAAGATCACAGAATCTCCTGGCTTGGTGTAACTATACGTTGGCGTCTGTTGAAAAGTTTCGCCAACAGATAAATACTGTGTGTATTGAACGGGTTGTGTGGGTGGAATAGCGACTGTTTCTAGCGTGGTGTATGTATTAGAAGCTTTGATGGTTTCCGCAGCAGCCGCAGCTTCGGCATCGTACTTGACAACACCGTCGGCATAACTGGTTGCTACGAGCTGTTGCTGATTGGCACGTATACTATCGATTGGCGGTGAATATGGTGCGGGTGATCCGAGATGGACTGTAGATCCTG